TGTCACCTCATGAAAACCCAATCTTGACCTACAGGTGCCAGTTTACAGCGGGATGAGAAAATTGCAATTCACCTCAGAGTTCCTTGGTAGCTTGTTCGAGGAACAACTGCCACAGCTGTTCACAAAACATTGCTATCAAGAGCCGGTGTACGCCTTGATCTAAAGTAAATTTTCGAGACACGTTGTCACCCCATCTTCTTCCATTTCTTCGCATATATTACGGTTTTTTTAAACATTTGTTGAAAGATTTTTTGTAATGAGATTTGAATTGCATTTTGGAAAAAAATCGATATTTTATGTTATCGATTTATCCTCAGTCAATATTGATACGCCGAATAACGTTCTAAAAAGATCGATATTATAGAATACGAGTTAGCAATTTCAATAAAAGATTTTACATTTGTAAAGATAGTAAACCATTGTTCATGCTATACTAAACATTGAATAGGCTCGTTTCAAAATTGTGGAAATAAAATATCCGCTAGAAACATGTATAAAATACATGTATTGTAATTTATTCTAAGAAATGTCAATTTACGATCGATTATCTCCAACGAACATCGATAAGGCATATATCGCTCTTTAAAATATCAGCATGATTGATTGATTTATTGATTCGTAAAAGTTTATACTCATTTGAACTCCTAACGCATTTTTTAAAACTAGTCACATTTATACCCTTGGTAAAATTATTATTTCCTATTTATACCATTCATGCAAGAAGTAGGGTGGTGGAGAACACGATATTCTTCCATCACATGTTAACATAATTTAATTGAGGGTAGATGGAGTTCTAATATTGCACCACTCAAATAAATACATTTACAATTACTATGTTCAATTCGAAACGGCCGATTTTCCTCCAAAGATCAAATCTCTCGAAAGACTCACTTCAGTGCTCAAGAAGCGCATATCAATGGGAGTTCTCTATATGGAGCTGACGAATGACCTTTTAATTAAGTGGAAACATCGAGAAACATTTGTCCGCATGCCAGAAAAACACGATGGTTTTGGGTTGACCGTATGAATCCGTGTAACCTAGTACGGCCTATCCGTAGTCAGGTGACCATGACCTATTTCAGAGCGTTACCTATCGACTGTCCTTTCCATACACGACTCTGCCGATCCGGCCCACATATTATTAAATATAAATTATCCATACTATATATAGGTGTTTTCTTCCAAATTAATGGATTTTCCTACCAACTTAACTATTTTTAATTTAAAATTTACGCTTTTTCGCAGCAAATTTAGCATTTGTACCGTTATTATTATTATTATTATTATTATTATTATTATTATTATTAATTTTTAAGGGCGTTTTAACGGCTAAGGTCATTTCACGCCCTAACATCCAAACCTTCTATCTTAGGTTAGCTATATCTCTTCTGAGTGCTATAAAGCTCTGACTCCAAACATTCACTCGTAATCTTATTTATCCTATTGCCATCCAAGCTTTANGGTTTCAGAAAAACATTTTCTTTATCGTGCCAACGTTTCGATCTTTATTGAGATCATCTTCAGGGCCTGGGATTTACAAACATTGTTTACATTTAACAAATGCATTTTGGATGTGGAAAAGAGAATGTATACAATGCAAAATTTTTTTTTTATACAGACAGCAAAATCTCACTGGCACTCTCAACACGACACGCAAGAATGGTACAATTACACAGAAGACAAACACTTTGAGTGTGTAGAAATACTTTGATTGTTTATATAAAAAATATATTTTGCATTGTATAAATTCACTTTTCCACATCCAAAAAGTAATTGTTATATGTAAACAATGTTCGTAAATCCCAGGCCTGAAGATGATCTCAATAAAGATCGAAACGTTTGCACGATAAACAAAATGTTTTCCTAAAACCTACATCACACCAGACCGCATCTCACGATTTCTAAATAATTATTATTAATTTTTAAGGGCATTTTAACGGCTAAGGTCATTTCACGCCCTAAATTTAAACCTGAATAAATTGCAACCTAACGCTTTTTAAATTTGAATTAATTTTTAATATAGGTTAACATTGTAAATTTCAAAATAACCTTTTTTTACTTCAAATTAACCCGTTTTTAGTTTTAAATTAACCATTTTCAGCCTCAGATTAATTAGTTTTTATTTGAAATTATTCTTTTTATTAAAAAATTTAAAAACTTAGAAAAGCGTATGTTATATCAGCATGTAAAATTCCGGTATATATGAGATTTTTTTAAAGAAAATAACTGGACCCTTGGAATTCCATACGAAAATTAATTAAGCTGAGCAATTTTTATGTAGTGATGTTTGCACATGCGCAGTCAATACTGTTGATTCGATGTGGACGAAATTCATAGGAGACCATCGAGAAATCTATCACCACAGTCTTTGAAAATTTCATGAATATTGGTCCTATTATTTCGGAATTTTGCCGATTACAAGGAATTGACCACAGACAGACACACAAACACGGTACCAAATTTGTCCGGAATGGTCTGAAATGCAAAAGGCAAGAGTAAATTTTAATTTTTGAAGGCAAAAATTTTTTTCGACTTCCCTCATGAATACAAGGCTTCCCTACGTTCGGTGATTCGGAAGCTAAAAGCTGTACTTCATTTTAAATTATACAAGTTAAAACATCGGCAAATGGTTAAAATTATCGAATATATTGATATTTTATATGATCGATGTACCCAAAAAATTAATATATTTTATATTATTTATAGTCAGGGATAGGGAAAGGATAAAAGAAGTGGTCACAAGGCCTTCTGAACCTCGACCTGACTAGATCAACTGTGCTCCTCTATTTTTTTAAACAATAACTATGTTTTTTTTGCATTGTATAAATTTAAGAGATCATCTTCATGGCCTGGAATATACAAACATTGTTTAAATTTAACAAATACATGTAGGATGTGGAAAAAAGTGAATTTATACAATGCAAAAAAATATATTTTTATATTCAATCATGTATTTCTACTTTCTCAAAGTTTGTTTTCTGCGTAACACTTTAACACTAAACACTTTGAGTGAGTAGAAATACTTTGATTGAATATAATTTTTTTTTGCATTGTATAAATTCACTTTTTTTCCACATCCTACATGTGTTTGTTCAACTTAAACTATGTTTGTAAATCCCAGGCCCTGAAGATGATCTCAATAAAGATCGAAACGTTGGCACAATAAAGAAAATATTTTTCTGAAACCTACGTCACACCAGACCGCATCTCACGATTTCCCAATAATCATTGTTATTTTTATGTTGGCTGGAAGTGCAATTAAATTAATCTTTTTTAATATAAAACAGTTTTCTATAGTAATTTTCTAAATTTCTGACAACTGTATTTAAGTAAGAAAACTCAATTTCAGTTCAGACAGTTCAGTAATTACTGGCGTTCATTATTGTTGCGAAATGGAGGAAATGCACGGGAAATTGACCACGATTACATCTCAATTGGTGATCGGAAATGGCATTGGTCGGCCACACTATTACAAGAGTTGCCTTTAAACATTAATTACGTTCGTCTAAAAAACCAAACTGTCAAAGACGGATTTTCTCATGCCATCTTTTTTGGGACACGTACAAATTTATTACAAAGGTTTCAATTTGAAATTAGGAAAATACTGTTGCATAAGTGGTCTATTTTGTTAAACCACAATAAAATAAACGAAAGATGTTGTTCATCACTTACTTTTTTTATGGTTCAAAATTGTAAAAATCCTGTTTTAGCCCAAGGTCAAAGAACTAAAATTTCCAAAATCTGAGAATACATAGCAACCCAACATTTTCTTGGATTATAGGGAACAAAGAAATTTTGGGTAATAATCAAGCTGGCAAACTTGGCCAAAGATCAAAGAAGCCAAAAAAATACATTTGGGATAATATAAAAAATAGACTCTTCTATTCAGAATGGGTTCTCACAAAACAAAACGAGAAAGTCTAGATGTTCCAAACATGGTTAAACAATCCTCGGCAAAACTGGAGTCACATTGCTATATTTGGGCAGGGTAAAAGTTAGGAGAGTAAAAGGACTTTATACCGATAATGGCATCTGAAAAACCACTTGCACATGTCTCGATTCTTTAAAAAACGATCGATACAACATGTTCGAACTAAGGATCTAGGAAAAGTACAATAAGCCAAAAAGCTGCACTGGGTGAAGAATACTAAACTCTAGTATTCTAGAATCATTAGGATCATCAGCAATGTCCTACAGAAATACACCTGCATATGAGTCGATTTGCAGGTTATGTGATTAGGAGGAATTCCGCCAATACCATTTTCGAATTCGAGCAACTGCACAGTGGAGATATAATCAAGAGTTCCAAACAGACCCTGGAAAAATAATTGTTGCAATAACAGTCAATGTCTTTCTATAATGCATCTTGAAAGAAAGATCGAGTCATGATCTTTGAACTAAGGTGCTAGGTAAAATACAATAAGCCAAAAAGTTGGAGTGCTTGAAAAATACCAAAATCCTAGCTTTCTCGAATCCTTAGGATCATCAACAATGTTCAACATAAATATACCTGCACATAACTCGATCTGCAGGTTATGTGATGATGAGGAATTCAGTCAATACCATTTTCGAATTGGAAACAACTGCACAGTGGAGACATAATCAAGAGTACCAAACAGACCTGGAAAAAAGAATTTAGCAATGACAGTCAATGTCTTTCTATAATGCATCTTGAAAGGATAATCGATACAAGATCGTCGATTCTAGGTAAAGTACAACGAGCTACAAAGCTGCAGTGCTTGAAGAATACCAATCTCTAGGTATCTTTTAGGATCATCAACAATTTTCAACAGAAATCCTAACATAAAATCAATGAAAATTTTGTTCTTTACAACAATTTTCTAGGAACGTAATAAGTATATTTTTCATTTTGTTTATAATTCTTATAATCACGTGTAGAATGGTACTCAATTCACCGTCAACCATGAGTGTTGACAGAAAACAATGAAAAAATTCAATTAACCAGAGTATTATTTAAGGAATGTAATTAATACACTTACGTCTCGAAAACTATCACCACTGCTGTCGGGTCCTGTAAAAAAGAATAGTATGAATAAACCTGTTATAACAAATTATGCTAAAATGATATAAAATAGCCTGAGGGCTGTTTTAGTACATAGTGATTTAGTTTACTTTTATCGAAAATTGTGAAGCACGTGGATGGGAATCGAAGGTAACGTGAAAGTGGTTAAGCGGCACAACCATTAGGTTCACTTCCTCCGGTGAATGCAACCTTTCAGCTACCCCCCTTACAACCTATTTACACGTCTTTGCCTGATTAATTATTGCCCAGGCTTGGTTTGTTCACAGCCCGGATCACAAAAACAGTGGGACGGTGAAAACACAATTTCCATATGCAAGGAAGCGATATGCATTTGATTGACGTCGGGGATTTTTTTATCGAAGTCACGTCGAATGTGCGCAGGCATTTGAGAAAGTAAAAGTGTCGATAATGGCTTTAAAAAACGACTGTGACAACTTTCTACTTACATCGACATTTCATTTGCGGATGAAAACTTAAAATATCTGACATTTGTACCTTCGCAATACTCTAAATATCATTCATTAAAATGCCACACAATTTCCTAACCATCTTAGCAATGTCAAAAGCGAAAATAGAGAAAAGAAAACAAATCTAAAAAATATTTAACCTTTTAACATACACTTTTGCCAATATTTTTTCTACGTTTTTCTACTGCCAATTTAAACAAACATTTAATAACAAACAAAAATCAATCCTTCATCGCTGGCGAATTTCCATAAATTTATCAATATATTACCAGCATTGTACGTGATCTTGTTTGTTAACGATATGGTAATCGATAGGTCGAATAGCAATATATATGCTAAATTGGTAGGTAGGAATTTTTCTCTGTACTTTTCTTGGCTATCACGTATCCGATCACATCAAATAGACAAAACAGACGACAAGTACTCTCTTAAAATATGAAATTCTATGTGAGCGTTCCATTCTTTCTTCATCACTCTCTCTCTCTCTCTCTCTCTCTCTCTCTCCCTCTCTCTCTCTGAAACTCTCTTTCCCCCTCTCTGTCTCTCTCTCTCACACACTCTCACTCTCTCTTCTTCTTCTCTCTCTCTCATTCTTTCTCTCGTTTTCTCACTCCCTCTCTCTCTCTCTTTCTCTCTCTCTCTCTCTCTCTCTCTCTCTCTCTCTCACTGTA